ATTAGTGTTGAGCCCTGATTCTTGGTTAAGTTTATGGTGATGGATAAACTTGAAATTGAAATAGCCACTGAGCTGAATAAAAATGCCTTTTGTTTACTTTTGAATGGCAGAGTGGTTTCTGGAGCATAATTATACCTTGAAATGGCATACTAAGAGTTTGAAAATATGAACAGCACATGTAAAAAGTAGTTTCAGTTTTTCCAAGTTTTTGTAGAGTTAGTAACATTTGCATCACTTGTATATGTGGGGGTTTTTCAATGTTTTCTAGCACAAGAATGGTGAGACCGCTGGACAGAGCCAGCTACATGTAAGTAGGTGGAATCACAACATTACTCACAGGTCGATTGAAAAGGAGTGTTGATTTTTATTCATTAATAATAGTGCATTAATTCACAAGACACAACCTTGCAAGTGAGTTTGTTTGTGGCAAAGGCAAGAAACGAAAAACTGTGATTTTGCTCACTCCCATTTTAATTCTCTCATTAATTCAGTTGATCATTAAAAGAGAAAAATACTTTTTTTCATCGTCAATTCTGTCAATTCAGGTGTTCAAATGACTGAATTGACAGAAACCAGAGTTTTTGCCTCTTGATGCAAGTGTACTTCATAAACTTACCATTGATTTCATTTTGCCTGAGGTTTTGTTTTGTTTTGTCTTTTTTTCGTCTTTTTTTCATGTTGTGAACAAATTGGCTCTCTTGGTGCATATATTTTAGGAACAAACATATTCAAGCATTACTAGGCAAACTTATTTTTATATTGGGGCGAGATCATATATCCTGCAAACAATATAAAGATAATTGGAAAATTATCGTCACCGGTTCAAAACATGTGATACAAAGAGGCCTGTAGTTGTTCAATTTTTTTTTTTTTTTAATTTTTGGTCAAGTACTCATTGTGTTGGGCTGCAGACTGTTAGATATTCAACAATATAGCCACAAAGCTTTCAGCTACATCAAATTTGACTACAGGCTTCAAACTTAACCCTTTAACTCCTAGGGGTAATCAACATGTAACTTCTCCCTGCAATATCTACACATCATCCTGCAAAAAGGTAATGAGAATACATGTACTCAAACTAATCAGGTAGAAGTTATCTTGATCTAAACCTATTCTTATAACTACCGGTAACTTACAACGAAATGTGTAGCAGCTAGAGGGGGAGAATTATCAATCAGATCTTGGGAGTTACAAGGTTAAGTATGCAGACCCATGCAGCAGTACACTTCTAATCAATTTCTCAAACAGAAATATTTTGGGAACTTGGGCCTGTATATAAATTTAAAAAATTAGGCTTTGGCATGAGCACAACACTTAAAAATAGATATCTACTGGTGCTTGCAGTTTGCTTCTTGTGCTTGCATTTTTTAACTTATTTTTGCTTCTTTTCTATTTCATCTTGATTGACCCTACCCACTCGTCACAGTATTCTGAGTTTTGTACATTTTCATACTTTGAACTTCCTACACACCACACAAATTTCTTGACTGTCTAGTTTGAAGCAGTTCGAGACGCGTTAAATATGGATCGAGTTGACACTTTTCCCTTGCTATGCAGCAATAACTATGTAGTGAAACATATTTGAGGGTTGTGCCCTAATAGTAATAATAATAATAATTACTATTATAATAGTGGGCTGGCAAGGTAAAGTAGTTTGAATGGATTTTATTCTGATTATCCACAACCATGTCACCCAAAAGCTTTATACTTCCATGCAATAAATGTACTAACTCCCAAGTATTTAGATTGTAGGGACTTGCAACAGAGAATGAGGTGGGAAATTTCCATCGCTCCCCTCAGAACCCTGCTAAACTCCACAGAGCAATAACAAGCAATCCTTACCATGGATCAACTCTAACAACAGTTTCAGACCATCTAAGTAAAATGCCACGAGTTTGATGCCATGGGTTATGAAAACCTTTCACAGTCTCTCCTCTTTCCACTCTCTTCTTCTTACCGGATTCTGAATTTAAGTTACACTACAAAACAACTTGCAAAAGCTTTCAAATCGTGCAATATTTTTGTGGACCTTACAAATTCTTAGCATGAAATCGTTTTGTTGAACAATTTTGAACCATCTAGAATAATTTTACAATAGATTAGAGAGCATAGTGGCTTTGAGATGAGCACTTATACTGTGTTTTTAGCCAGCCGAGTGCAATACATTTATGTAATTTGAAATGTGCCAACATTACTCCAGCTTAGCTAATAAGAAAAGGAAAAGACTGTTGCACTGGTTCCTAAAATGTCCGTTTTCTCGACACTGGATGAAGTAAAACAGATTCAAGTACTGCACCTCCGCCAATGTAATCTATTGCAGAACTTGCACTTATTGCAAAAAGATATACATCGGCGAAACAGGCAGAAGACTAGGTGACCGATTCCGAGAACACCTTCGAGACGTGGAAAGGAATGACAAGGACACATCGAAACCAGTCGCTAGACATTTTAATTTACCTAATCATTCTAAGCAACATATGGCAATCTGCGGTCTTTCCTT